ATTTTATATTAAAAAGTGTTTGCACATTCTTGTGTTTTTGGAATCCATGGAGTCCTAGAACTGACCTCCTGCAGATACAGAAAGGCGACTGAATGTATGCATCTTCCCTTTGTGCTTTCTGGCTCTGATGAGCAACTGCTTCCTGCTCTCTGCTCCAGAATTGCTAGTAAGAGGATCACACACAATGGCCATGGTAGAGCTTTGTGTGGATTGGGAAGAAGGGTTGTGTCCACCATTGGGTCGATGTGGGGTGAAGACAACCAAGCTCCAGCAAACACAAGAAAGTGGTGCTGTACATTTAGCAATGGATGCAAGGGTGGAGAATTCCAAGGCCCCACAGAAACAGAGAGGGAAACTAATTTCCCACCATGCCTGGGAAGGGGGCTTTTATTTTGCTCAAAACTAGTGCTATACCACTTAAACCATGCTGTCAGCCCAGCTTTAAGCTGGTTCATTGGAGATGGAGTCCTTTGGATTTTTCTGCCCAGATTGACTTCAAACTGAAATCCTCTAGATTTCAGCTTCCTGAGTAGCTAGGATCACAGGCATGAGCCACTGGCACCAGGCTCCAAGCAAATGTTGTATAAGCAAAAAGCTTAAGCATCCTATCAAGGACAAGGATGCTTAGTATCTCATGCTATTTGTTTTGTCTTTCTCTATATGCTTTATCATGTTTATTCCTTGTTTTCTTACTCATTGTTTTGTGGAAGCACTGGCATTTAATTACAAGGTATCAGGCCAGTAAGTACTCTGGGTTTACCTGTTTCCTCTGAGCTATTTGTGGTAAGAGCAGGTGGCCTTAGCCTTCAACATGAGAGTTGCAGAGAGGAATATGGAGAGGCCCTCACTCCACCAGGACCATCCCTGCTCCTAGTAAGCTCTATTCTGGAATGTGGAAATGGCTTCCTAGAGACAGTCTCTCTCTCCCCACCCCTGCCCCTGCCTTTAGCAGGGCTCTCTGTGTCCTCTTTTCTTGAGTCTGTTTTGACTCTGTCATTCTGAAACTTCTGCTTGCTGCTTCCTTTCCATGCTCCCTTTTCCATATCTGAAAGCATTGTCATGTTTTGGCAAATGGAAATTGGAAGAGTGTGTCAGGGTAGCAGAGAGAGATAAAAAATGGTCTCAGATGCTGTGGAGCCCAGAGCAAACCAGAGGCCAGTTTGGATGAAGGCTGTGTTGGACCAGCCTGATAGTCTCCACCTTCCCGAGTATCCTGCCCAGCCACGTGTATCCTTCTGTATGTCCTGATACTGCTTCTTAGGCCTCCCACAGGATTTCTATCTTTCACAGTCTTTGTGGATTTCTTTCTCCTCCTCCCTCTTCCTCCTCCTCCTCTTCCACCTTCTCCTCCTCCTCCTCCTCCTCATTCTTCCAGTCCTGGGGTTGAACTCAGGACCTGGGGACTGTCCATGAGCTTCTTTTGATCAAGGCTAGCATTCTACCGTTCAACAGTGGCACAATTGAACCCAGGGTTTCATGCATGCTAGGCAAGCACTAAGCCACATTCCCAGCCCCTCTGTCTTCTTTTATCCTTTCCAGTCTGCTTGTTTCTATGGCTTTCCTCCCCTTTCTCATCTTTCCCATACCCTCCTCATATTCACACAATGTTGAACTTGGAGAAGCCTGTTGAAGCAGGAAGAGGATGTGCCATTTGGCACTAAATGCTCTTTTGTTAAAGTGTTCTCATCTAGATGCCATCTGTGGGGCCTTTCAAAACAAAACAGAATGTGACTCTCAAGAATAATATTGGCAAAAATGCATAAAGTAAGGCACATAAACCACTCTGTAATTTTGTGTTTGTTTTTATTTGGGGGCAAGTATTTGTGGCATAACTGGGTACAATTTCCCTCAGCAGGACACTTGATTTCCCACACTGGTCTTCTGTTTCCACACATACTTGTTGAAAGGATGGGAGTCTTTCTGTGTCAGTGAAGGTGTCAGGAAGATGTGGGTGTGGTATTTCTAGAGGTCTGCTGAACAATCTGCTACCCATGCACCTGAGAGTGGTAAATGCTGGGTTGGCAGCATCTGGATTCAGTGCCATGTGACTTGTCCCCTGTTTTCCAAGAGGAACCTCAAGAGGGAGCCCTTTGTATTACAAGTGATGTTTGTTTGTATTCTGATGCTGAGGATGCAAAACCCAGGGCCAGTTATGGGCCACACCCAGCGGCATCCCCAGAGAGAACACTTTGTTAAGGCAAATTGCTTAGGTTCACTGTACATGGTGCTGCAGAAACATCATTTTCAATTCAAAGCAATCAACATACATTGGGAACTAGTCTATCACCCTATCATGCAAAGCCTGTACAGAGCATGCCCAGATGGCTTAGGATATCAGACACACAGGCAAGCAAAGACAGACATAGAGAAAGTGAGGAGACTTGGAGAAGAATTGTTCCATTCCACCGGGGTGGGATGAGGCAAACAAGGTCTTGAAAAAGGTAAAGGACTTTGTGCCAAAGGGAGACAAGGACTGGAGATGTAGCTTCAGTGGTAGAACACTTGCCTAGCAAGTACAAGGCCCTGAGTTCAAACCTCAGTATTGCCAAAACAGTGGAGGGAAGAGGGTAGCAAGGAGACACATGCTGGGGACCACATACAAGAGTGAGTGCAGACTGGACTATTCCAGGGCGGTGGAAATTACAGCTAAATCTACAGCATGGAGCTCTTGGGAGGGAGGTTGGGGGTCTTCCTGGGAGCCTGAGGAGCTTTCACTAGGTAACAAGAACCACTAATGTTTCCTCTGCTCTGTGTTCAGTGCAGAGTGGCACTCAAAGGCCCATGTACAGGATGGACCTGGGAGATGCTATAGGCCTTTGAAGGTTCTTAGGTCATTGGGAATATTGACGCCAGGGCTGGTCCTATTGCTCTGTACTTCCTGGCTGTAGTTTAGCACTTGTTTTATCACATGCTGCACCGTGATGTGCTATGGTTGCCAGAGGCCCCAGAACCACCCAGAGACCATGGACTTCCAAAACCATGAACCAAAACAGCCCTTCTTCCCTTTCCGTGTTGACTATACCAGACATTTCTTCATAGGCAAGGGGGCGAGGAAAGCTGATCAACTCATCCACTCTGCTTTCTGAAGTCAGCACAGACCACGTTCTTGCCATGGACTGACTAGAAATGAGCATGTCTTTGTACACTTGCCTTGTAAGTAGAAAATGAAGGGATTTGAGGTTAGAGAAACAGGTTCAGTTCCCAAACTCTACCTAGCCAAACATTACATAAAATCATCCTGTGGGCACCACTACTTCTGTCCTCCATTCTTCCATCCCTCCTTTCTTCCCCACCCCCCTGTTCTTTCCCCTTCTTTCCTCTCATTTCCTGCTCTCCTTTATTTTGTCTTCTCCACTACTTCCCAGAGAACAAAACCTTGCCTTGAAGCGCCATCAAGGGCATACCCTACTCAGGTCATCCCAGTGACCTCCTTATACTTCTGCCTCTGCCCTTGCCCAGAGCCAAGCCAGATGTCAGGCTTAGCATGTGACCGAGTCCCCACAAGAAACCCATTAATGGAGAAGCACTGGGGACTGATGCAGACTCAATTGAGGAGCGCTGGGAGGCAGATTAAGATGTTTACACCAGACATTCCACAGAAGAGAACATAAAAAATAACAAACTTCCATTGGGCATTTCTGTGCTTTAAAGATACTTCATGCAGTAAAGTCTCTGGACATTAGCTTCATTTTCCTTCCTTTTACACAGCATCCACAAGCTTCCTTCTTCTCCCTTTCCTCCTATTGGAAGAACTTCCTTCCAGTCTTGCTGCAGACACAAACTGTAGTTTATGTCACCCCATCAACATGGTATGCAAACCAGAAACCTGTAGATGTGGCCACCTAACAGGGCCATTCATTTGTGATTTGAAGACTTAGGAGAAGAGTAAGACAAGACCTGCATGGGTTACTTTAATTCAGAGCTTGATGAAAATGATCATGTGCTATTTTGATACAGAGAGCCATATTTGACGGCTAGAAGCATGTATAAATTCGATACAGAGAGCAGTACTTGATGGCTAGAAGCATGTATAAGCTGATGCAATCACTATAGCTCACCTCCAGTCAGCTCTAAGGGCAAAAGTAAGAGGTCATTGCTCTTAATGTCCAGACTCTACTCACGGTGTGGCTGGTGCCTCCCTGAGTAGCTTGCAAGCGGTCTAATTCCAGACCTTCTTCTCTTCCTGGTCATATCCCTCACACCAGGGAGGAAAAGCTCCTTCCCATCCTATTATCCTTTCCACAGTCCTTTCCGGTTGCTTGTTAGCATCCAGAATGGCTTGTAACGCTGCAGCCTGCTCACTGCCACCCCAGTTTCTGCTGTTTGTAATGATCCTGGCAGATGTGTTCTAGGTATCAGAGTTCTGCCGGCTGTGGTGACAAGGCTGGGGTGGGAGATTAACTTCAAACAAAAACCGGACCCCCTAATTGTGCTATGTCCTGGCACTACAGAGAAGCATCATTAAATTCCACTTTCCTCCATGGCAGCAGATTTAGATATTATTCTGCAATGACCCTGTCCCAAATACTCAAGGGGTTACATAAGCTACCTGACCTTGATTCTGAGTCTCTGTGTATCCATATGTAGAATGGTGAAAATAATTTAGACTTCCAATTTTATGAGGAGGAGTATGGTCAGGTTAAATAAACCTTGATTATGTTACGCATTATGATTATGTCTTGGCAGCTAATAAGTCTTTACAGCTATTTCTTTCCTACAGATTCTTCTCCACAAATACTAAGTTGATATGACACCACCATAAATTGCAAGGCTCATCTGGAAAATAAAGGAATAATATAATAATATACCAAATATTTGTGAAACATGTGATACATATTATTTATGAAATATGAATTGAAACTAGAAAGGAATTGGGAGAAATAAAGAGGAGACTACAGAGATATCTTTGAAGAAATACAGGTATTCATCATCCAACTGTCTGTATTCTAAATCACAGTGTATTAACTGGATAAGAAAGAAAAATAGGCTCCCAGGGGCACCGCAGGGGAGGCTGGGGTAGAGGCCTCCGGGAAGGCGAGGCCTGCAGTGGAACCCCGTCTCCGGGCTAGCTGCTCTCGAACTGATTTCCAACCCCCGTCCCGAGACACTGCACTGGCATGGGGCAGACACCGCGTACCCTTGGGGACTGGCTGGGCCAAGGGCAAGGACGACATGGAGATGTGCGAGCTGAACCTGGAGGAGACCGGCCTGACCCCCAAGCGCGGGTCGGAGATCCTGCCGCGCCAGTTCGAGGAGATCTGGGAGCGCTGGGGCGGCATCCAGTACCTGCAGAGCGCCATCAAGAGCCGCCAGGCGCGGTCCACCTAAGCCAGGGCCATGCTGCAGAGCCTGCTCAAATAGGCCTGGGCCTGGGGCCTGAGGGCGGGGCCTGGGCCTGGGGGCGGGGCCTAGGCCTGGGGGTGGGGCCTGGGAGCAAGGCCTGGGTCCGGGGGCGGGGCCTGGCCTGGGCCGGGGAGCCCAGCCTGGACCCTCCCCACCCCCAGCCTCCCTATCCTCACCAGCCCACCCCAGCCAGCCTTTCTCTTGAATGTCATGGCTTTGTGTCCCGTGGTTTAAGGTTAATTAAGTTTTTCCCTCACGCAGCAGCTACTGTAGCCGCACACCGCCCCTTCCTCTCCTGCTGTACTTGTCAGCAGACTACCTAAACCTAGCATCACGATTTCTTTTCAAGGAAACGGACTCTGGGAGAACTTTCCAGGTCCTTGCTCTTACAGGACGACGTAGTACCTTACAGCTGGAATAATGAAACGTGGGTTGAAAGGTCTTTCAAGAATCAAGGTACTTTAAAATGAGCCAAGAATTCCGGTGATTTCGTTCCGGAAAGCAATGTATTTCTGTCTGCGTTTTCAGGAGCTCATAAAATAACGGGAATTGTGACTTCCCCCTTTCGTTTTGTAGTATGTCCTAGTTTGGGTGAAGCAGTTCTTTCTTCAGTTCTTGAACTCTGGAAAGAGTCTTATAAGGTGTAATAATCGATGCACTACCTGTGCTAATTAAAGGTGGCACTGCTAATCGAGTCCCTCCAGCACGCACTTGGGTTTTCTTTTCTAACAAAGTGTGCGCTGCCATCAGAATGTTCTTTTGCTATTTCATAGGCAAATAAAAGAAATTCAGAGACTTCTGAGATGTTTTGTTTCCTTGGCAAGGGGCACATGGTTTAGGTAGCACCTGTGACTTAACTGGACTGAAATCAGATCTTTTCATCTCATGGTGATTTTTATATGAAAATCTTGTCCAAGTTTTTCCTGTGAGTTGGTGTTCTGCTTCAGATTTCTCTTTTTTTCCTTACATTCCTGGTGTCTTTTTAGCCCTTGAGATTTTTTTTTTGTAATTGTAGAGCTGTTTTATAAACTTTGTAATTCAAAAATGTCCTGATACTTTGTAATTGTTCATTTCATGCTACAGAGAATTTCAGAAGAGTTTTCTTGTGTGCTGTTAGTCTTGATCAAATGTCAGCAGTTTCAAGCCTAATATTTATGACTTTCATATTAGGAATTTAGGAACAAAAAATTTATCAATGAATTACATTGACATCCTAAGGCATCTTGTTTGTATTTTAGAATAAAATTAGACAGTAAATTATTCTAATTTTTCATTGTTGATTTTTAAATACCCTAATCTTTGAAATGAAATTTCAGTAGTTTTTGTTTGTTTCTAGGAAGAATATCCCAGTTAGGAAAATATTTCCAGGTGGAATAGATTAATGTTTGTAACCACAGTCTCTGTTCTGGGAGCTGCTTCTCTGACAATATAATATGTCTTAACAAAGATATTTATTTATTATGATACTGTGCAAAGGATTGCCTTGAGTTAAGGAAATTGCAAAGCACCATCTGTGCTATTAATTGAGAATGTGAATGTGACTGGATTCTGGAGGTTCCACGCCCAGGGTCATTTGGGCCTGTGATTGGTGGCACTGGGTGCAGATGCTGAAATAAATGACCGGGTTTCTCTCTCTTGCAAAAAAAAAAAATAAAGAAAGATAGAAAGAAAAGAAAAATAGTATACAAGTCTTTATTCTATTCTGGAAATCGATGGTTCTGCTAGAGAAGAAAAACTTGCCAGATTCTCATTACATTGGTGGCTTTCCTGCAATCAGAACATAGAATCTCCCATGCCACATCCAGGATCACCTCCATGCAGCACTGTGCACACCTTCTAAACAGAAGGCTGGATTGTTCATTATGGTCTTTTGTTGTTGTTGTTTTTTTTTTTTTTTTTTTTAGTGGGGCTTGAATTCAGGCCCTAAGCACTGTCCTTGAACTCTTTCACTCAAGAATAGCACTTTACAACATTGAGACACAGCACCACTTCTGGTTTTTCTAGTCATTAATTGGACATAACAGTCTCATGGACTTTCCTGTCCAGGTAGTGTTGAACCGGGATTCTTAGCTCTCAGCCTCTTGAGTAGCTAAGATTACAGGCATAAGCCACCAGCACCATTATGTATTTAATTTCAACATTTTCTCCCAAGCAATGATGTGAAAGAAACTCTGTGAATTTTTTATTTTACTTTTGTTATGGATCCTGGGACTTGAACTCTGGGTTTGGACGCTGTCCGTGAGCTCTTCAGCTGAAGGCTAGCTGTCTACCACTTAAGCCACAGCGTCACTTCTGGCTTTTTCTGCTGATGTGGTGCTGAGGAATTGAACCCAGGGCCTCATGCATGCAAGGCAAGCACTCTACCACTGAACCACCTTCCCAGCCCCTCTGAATGAATTTGAATTTAGTTTGGATCATGTAGAAAGAAGGTGACCATGGCCAACTTTCAGGTTATGTTTCTCAGTAACTCTGCAGGACAGTTCTTATCCCATGAAAAGTTGTTCAGCAACTAGAATCAGGCCTCTGATTCTTTTGTTGTTGTTGTTGTTGTTGTTCCAGTCCTAGGGCTCAGGGCCTGGGGGCTGTCCTTGAGCTACTTTGACTCAAGACTGGTGCTCAACCTCTTGAGACACAGTGCCACTTCCAGCCTTTTTTTGAGTAGTTTATTGGAGATAAAGGTCTCACAGATTTTCCTGCCCGAGCTGGCTTCAAACCTTGCTCCTCATATCTCAGTCCCTCCTGAGTAGCTAGGATTACAGGCCTGAGTCACCAGCACCCAGCTTAGGCCACTTGATCTTGATTTCAATCAGTCACTATCAAATTTAGATTCTGCCTTGATCTTGCAAATCTGTCCAAACATCAATTTTCTCTTTTGCAAATTTGGTTCCTTACCTGGCTTCAACATTTCCTAGATGGACCTGTACACTTAGCTTTGCATTCTTTTCATAATATGCTAATTAAATGTCCATATTGTGTGTGTGTGTGTGTGCCCGTGTATACATGCATGTGAGTGCACTCACCAGTCCTGGAGCTTGAATTCAGGGCCTGGGTGCTCAAGGCTAGCACTCTACCACTGAGCCACAGCTCCCTTTCTGGCTTTTTGTTGATAAACTGTAGATAAGAGTCTCATGGACTTACCTGCCTAGACTGGCTTCAAACTGTGATCTATAGATCTCAGCCTCTTGTGTAGGTAGGATTACAGATGTGAGCCACCAGCGTCCAGCAAGTGTACACATTTCATGTCAAGTGTGTGTATGTATGAACACACATGTGTGAAGCTGCAAAGGGATTTGACTTGTGAGCAACAATGAAATTTGACAGTTGTTTGGGAATACCTGATCACAGTGGTGAATCCTCTGGACCCTCCCATGTTATCTACCAGTGTTCTAACTCATCCCTGGATGTGGAAGAGAGTTAGACTCCTCACCTGTTGTGAACAAAGCATCCAGTAGCAAACACTGCCAAAGATGAGCAGAAGTTAGCTGGCATTCTGAGTCATTGCCTAAGGCAAGGAGCAGATTCAGTAGCCTCTGCAAGAGGGGGTGAACTCAAGAGTGCACCCTAGCCCAAGAGTGGCATCTGCCACAAGAGGGGGTGTACACAGTAAAGTGCATTCTGGCCCCGGAGTGGCACACAGATGCCCCCCTATCCCTTACCCTCTACAAACCCAACACAATATGAGTCAACAAGCCTACTGTAAGAACCCAACTTCAAAACTACTAGAGGAAAACATAGGCATAACACTCAAAGACACAGATCATTCTGAACAGGAATCTCCAATGGCTTAGGAAATAAGAGTAAGAATTGACCAATGAGATTGCATCAAATTAAGGAAACCTCCATGCCCTGAAGGGAAAAAAACAAGTCTTTTGTTGTTTGTGGTGCTTGAACTCTGGGCCTGAGCACTGTCCCTCAGCTCTTCAGCTCAAGGCAAGTGCTCTACCTCTTGAGCCACAGCCCCACTTCCAGTTTTCTGGTGGTTAATTGGAAATAAGAGTTTCACAGACTTTCCTGCCTGGGCTGGTTTTGAACTGCAATCCTCAGATCTCAGTCTCCTGAGTAGCTAGGATTATAGGCGTTAGCCACTGGCACACGGCCAAAAAGAAGTCATTTGAATGAAAAGACAATTGAGAAAATAAAAGAAAACCTTTGCAAGTGATTTATATATCCAGAATATATAAAGAGCTAAAACCCGTAAGCAACAAAGGCCAAATAAACCAGTCAGTGAACCAATGACTTTAGACAGTTCTAAAAATGTGGACAAATGGCAACTAAATGCATCCATAGCCATAAAGGAAATGAGATGCCATCTTTCCCCTCCAGAATGGGAATCATTATAAAACAACAAGTTCTGGTGAGGATTTAGGCAAAAAACTAAAAGGAGCCCTGATATACTGCTGGTGGGGATGTAAATTAGTGCAAGCACTATGGAAGTAAGTATGGAGGTTTCTTAGAAAAAACTAAAGATAGAACTATAATGGAATCCCTGTCTTCAACTCCTGGGCATATAACCAAAGGAGTTTAAATCGACACAATAGAGATACACCTAAGATACTTCCACTCTATTGGTGAGAGCCAAGCCATGAAATCAATCATTGTGCCCAACTACTGAGTGGAGGAATCAAGCCCTCTAATAATCATAACGAAGTGTTACCCAGCTATAAAGAAGAATGAAATTATGTCATTTACAGGGAAGGATGGGAGGAACTGGTGATGGCCATCCTGAGTGAGATAAGTTCAGAAAGACAAATACCATCTTTCCCCTATCTTGGTCTAAATATGATTGCTATTATGGTTAGTAATAATAATACTATACAATTGTCAAAGAGGG